ATTCCTCTCTGACACACCCTGTACGGAGTGTCATTGTCAGAGTGAGTGACGTCAGGTGATCAGCTGTGCGCCCTCTCCTGCATCTTGGCACGCGGAGAGCGCCTTTTTTTGGACTCCCAGCAGCTCTACTGAAGCCCCTCCGAGTAAATCACCAGAACCGACACATCTTCATCACGTCCACCGCTCAATGTTTCTTTTTGTTTGCCATTAAATTATTCTCTCTCCGTTTGGTGCGCGGGCTAATGCTTAATCTAATAATGCTAATGCCAGCAAATACAATGCGGCTTCCAAAACTTTTTCCAGTTTCATGGAACTTTTTCTCGCCCAGGAAAGTACCACCTTCTCTATGCAGGCACTAAAAAGGGGGTAAAAGTTCTCATGAACTAATGGTACTAATTTCCCATTGCAGGGCCTGCTCGGCTTAGTACGGTATAGTTAGGCCTTGTTAGGACTGGTTCACTTTATGCTGCGTCCATTACAGTTTAGTAAGCTGGGGCAGGTAATTATAGTAACGCAGTGTAGGCGGAGCCGTGCACGTCATTTCAATGAACCACAGAAAAACAACATCAGCCGCTTGCTGTTAGCACTCAAGCTCACAGCCAGTGGCAGAGCCAGGACATTTCCAGTGGGTGGCACAAGAATGGAACCATTGATCATTTTGGGGTGGGCATTGAAATCACTATTATATGAACATAAAAATACTTCACTAGATAAAATAAGGGGTTATTTAAGGCACCTACAACACACTCTACATTATTTGGGATTAAGTGGTGTAATAGATCGAACCATAGATACTCCGAGGTACTTACGAGGTTCTAACATATATTTATATTGTATTCCCTGCTAGGCATAGGTATACAGCTATAAGACTTTAAATACTATAACAGCAAAGATGTAACACATAAGACAAGATATACAAACTTATAGCAAGTGAGGTACAAATATCCCGCACGCACTACTGATGACACAAATACTCTTCAGTAGAAATCAATGCGAGTGCAATTTATATCCTAGTCAACAGTCTAGAGATACAACACCAAGGAGAGCCAAAAAACAAATCATCATAGATGTAAAGTAGACACTTATATGTAGTTTCTACTTCATATATATTAGTAAAAAGATATACCACCATCTTACATGTACAGCATAAACCATCCTCGACATATTACAATGCCTTTTAAGTCCCTAGTATCAGTGCCCCGTTTTTCTGAATAGTAAACATTACAAGACTACTCTAAGTCATATTTCCATATATAATATCCCTAGATGAAATACTGGTCTCAGTGATAGCTTATGTACTCAACAGAACATTCAATTTCAACCTCCATCAAATCCAGACAGAGGAGTTCGCTTCTGTATAATATAGAGTGATCATGAATTGATCTACACAAGCTATCTTCAATATGTTCGTCCTTAAGATCATACACTCGCTACCAAGATAAAAGTGCATGATAATAAATTTCTCCTCTGCCCTTTGTACTCTCTATATGCCATGACATATGGCCTTAGAGCTTTCTTCCATGACACAACAAATTCATTCAGCGTGACCATACCTAGACGATGTCCCGTGCACTGGTGAACGATTCCAGAGTGACTCTACACGCTGATGACGAGGTATAGACGCAGCACAACCAGAACTGTATGTCATCGGATTCTGATTTTCACAATGTCCTATTGTGTCTTCCCATACAGTCACTGTTGATGTGCCGCTGTGCTATTGTGTGTGCTGTGTTGCATGTGAACACCCAGTAAGCATCGACCGTCAAAGCAACACAATACGATGGACTCTTCTGGTCCAACTAGTTTGATCTCAGTGGGATGACCACTGAGGCACTGCCAACATAAACGCCAAAACAAACAGTGAATGTGAACCCGAAATTTGGATTATTATACATATAACTTCCTCTTTGCCTATTTTAAATATATCTATCTATCTGGGCCTATGCCCTTACAAAAGGTGAACTTCTAATTTATAGAATTATATATTTTTTGAAAATACAACACATTCAAATGGTCCATCACTGCTAAGTGAGAATATTACTTTTCTCTGTAAGGTGTAAAAGAAGACGTGAGGTTATAAAAAGATTCAACCTGAAATTGGACACTAGACGCACACGACACACACACACACACACGCACGCACGCACGCACCGCGCACGCACGCACGCACGCACCGCACGCACACACACACACACACACGCACGCACACACACACACACACACACACACACACACATGAGTGATAGTCAGTAAAAGGTTAAGCAAGTAATTGCACTGAGCTTAGTCTTAAACATGGGCTGAATTGAATATGTGCAGAGCACTGTGTGACTGTGTGTGTGTGTGTGTGTGTGTGAGAGTGAGAGAGGCTGGCAGAGAGAGCAGAGTGGTAAAAAGAGCTGCATCTGAAAGATGATGCGGTGAGGAAGAAGAGAGGGAATTCTGAGAAGTGCACAGGGAGAGAAACTGGGGAGAGTGGTTTGGGAGAGATCAAAAGGAAGTTTTTCAATCATTTCATGTGTCGCCTCGGGCTGTTTAACATCTGTTAATGACTCATGAAATTCGCACCAATCTCACACTCTCTCACAGTCATCCGTGCTCTGATTTGGTCGCCCCTTTGATCTTCCCCTGCCCTCCTCTCTGCAGACCATTAGCCACACCTTTCCTCCGTCTGCACCAGCTATGGAAATATAAGGCGATAAAGATGATGGTGGTCTGTCAAACTGGGTGATTCAATCTAAAAGACTAATTTCGCAATGAATTTTTCAATGCCAAATGATTCTGAAGAATTAAATTTTCTGATGTTGTTTGATGATGCTGGACTTTTAGTATTACAGTATAGTGTAAACTAATTGATGCTGCAGGAAAGATTTGACACACACAATTAGACAGGATTCTAACCAGGCTTTACAAATACCAATAGATTGGCCTATAATGTATTAGTATTTTATTCCAAACATTCCTCAAGAGTGCTGACACTGCATGTTAATCAGTCCCATGTTGTGACTGCTGCATTTAATGTCCTTAATAACCAATACATCAAATGAGGGCCATTATACAAAATAAAGTGTGGTCGACTGTTGGGTTGATTAACCCCCTCAGTCCTGCACCCTGCAATTGATTTTACAATATGCAATCCCTCCAGTGTATTCCCATTTTAAGTACAGCTTACTGTATATCTTTACTATATTGCTCTGTAAGGAACAACCTGTCAGCACTGTGAATAGGCAACATAATTGTCCTTCTCCTGCCCATCATCGGGCTGCCTCCTGTCCATTTCTTCTGCCACTTCTCCAGACTGTGAGCCCCCCCACACACACACACCTGCTCTCCTGCTCCCCAGTCTCCTGCCTCCTGCACTACATTCTTTCTCCTCCAACTTTTCCTCCCCTGGTATTTATCCCCTCTCTGCGTCTCTGCGTCTCTCCACCGCCCTCCTACTACAGTTGCCATGACAGCAAAGGTAATGTCAAGGCAAGAGACCAGCAAACCTGTTTTTAACCTTTAGTGTGTGTGTGTGTGTGTGTGTGTGTGTGTGTGTGTGTGCCTAACACAGACCCACGTGCTCTGGCCCCCAGGTGGTTGCAGCTTTTACAGGCTCTGTGTCGTAAACCCAACAGGGTTTTGTTGTAAATCTCTTTTGCCGCCTTTCTCAAGGATAGGAACTGTGGCGGTTGCCTTGGTAACCCATCTGGATCCTTTGCTTCATTGGTTGAAAAGTCGCAGTTTGTGTCTCGATTGGTTAAAGTGAGTGAGACTGCAATTCATTCAAAACCTCTACAAATACTTTTTGGTCTGATTTTGACCAGATTGTTTTAAGATGTAGACCAATGCATTTGGACAGGTTTGTTGTGTGATGCACAATATCCATTCATATTTTAAATTCAGATTGAAAATAGATAATTTTTACCCTCAAATGTTGTAAATAAACTGTTTTAACATGCAAACATGACTTAACATTGCCTTACTTGGTGGTGGCCTGTTTTATAACTTTTCATGTACTGTTATTATTTTTTCAATATTCACATCTGCACTACATTTAGAAACATTTCAGTCTTTTGCCATTTCACATATGATATGGCAATGCCGGAACAGATTGTACTTTAAAACAGTTGTAGCCAATTTGGTCTGAGGGGGACCTGTGGTGTCAGAATTGAAATAGTGGAATATGTAATATGGAAGTTAAAGAAGACTATGCATGCAATTAATCCTTCAGATTTGAACTGAAGACAAAAGCAGCTGATTGGTTCCTCCCTGCAGGGCTGTTAATCAGTGCTTTGAAAGCTTGCAGACGTTCAGCCTCCCACTAGCTGCCGACATAGGATATTCAAATGAAGCAGTTCCAGTCACATTGAGTGACTGTAGAGTTAAAAGAATAGTTAAAGAAAACATTTACATTTTTCACAGTAGGCTACACTGACACGTTGTTTGTCCCATGTTGAGCAGCTACAGAATCTCTCCAAGCGATGGTGTTGCTCTCATTAACCAATGCCAGCCTTTTCTCCTCTAATGACTCCAGCCGTTAACTAATCAATTTCTCTGTGCTCTCACAAACCTGACTAATGGGCAGCCTTCAGTCCCCACCAAACAGGTCATTAGTGTGTGTGGGTTTTGTGTGGAGCATCGAGGCAGTTGGTAGATGTTATTGTCCCTTTAGAGTCAATGATGGTGGTTGCTTGGGATATGCACTTCAAAGTGTACAATAATGAATGTAAATAAGTAATTTTATGGATGTGTGTGTGTGTGTGTGTGTGTGTGTGTGTGTGTGTGTGTGTGTGTGTGTGTGTGTGTGTGTGTGTGTGTGTGTGTGTGTGTGTGTGTGTGTGTGTGTGTGTGTGTGTGTGTGTGTGTGTGTGTGTGTGTAAAGGAACACACACATATTTATTAATAGACTCTTCTCTGATTTTCTAGTATCCAAGGAAAGTGCCTGCGGCGGAATGGATGAAGAGGACTTCATCAGATCCTTCACAGATGTCCCTACTGTCCAGGTACATTACATCCAGAGGCAGACTTACAGAAAGTCTCACACCTTATCTTATGCATTAAATGAGACTGGCTATCAAGGTCAAAATGTCTTTTTTTAACTCTGTTTCAAATGTCTCAATGCAGATTTACTCGGCGAGGGATCTCGAAGACAACCTGAACAAGATCCGTGAGATCTGCTCCGACGACAAACACGAATGGGACCAGAGAGCCGCCGCTGTCAGTATTTTCAACTTCATTTTCAATTTAAGTAATGACCTTTTTTGACGCTGCTTTCTTTGGTCATAATCAGTGTTTTTAATGTTTGTTTTTTTTACAGATGAAGAAGATCCGCTCACTGTTGGTGGCGGGCGCTACCACCTACGACTGTTTCTTCCAGCACCTCCGGCTACTGGATGGAGCCTTCAAACTGTCGGCTAAAGACCTGCGCTCACAAGTGGTCCGAGAGGCCTGCATCACTGTGGCGTGAGTGATGATTAGATAGATACCACTCAGCTCAGAGGCAGTGTCCGAACCAGTAGAGAGAGGAGAGTACCGTTCAAGGTTTTACAAATATAAGCAAAAAACTTGATGGAAAAAACACATTAAGAACTGCATAATTGATTCTACAGACAGGAGACATCCTCATAAGAGGGTCTACTTAAGAGAAAACTAATTTACACTTTATTTACATTGGTCTTTTAAAGCAGAATTCTTTAGGATTCATCGCAAAAACACACTTAAAGAGGCAATGTGGTCGAAGTAACTGGCCTATCAGGAATAGAAGCAGCTTAAAGAATACTTTCTTTATACCGACTGTGTGGGGTAAAACAGAAAATAAGCCTATTCCTCCTTTACAATAGTCATCAACTACATATATAAAATGGGAGGCAAACTTATTTCAATATGCATTAATTAAGATCAGTGTCAATTATGGCCACTAAATGTTTGGCTTTTAATGCCAAACTCTTCACAGTCCAAACCCCACCAGCTGACTATTGCATTATAAAGTCAATATTTGTGGGATTCTGGACACAGTCCCCGGCGATGAGATGGCACTCCCATCCCAACACATCTTTTTATGACACTTTTCACCTTTTGGATTTTGCTCTGTGTTTCCAACATGTGTTTGTTGTGGATTCTTGCAGCCACCTTTCAACATTGCTGGGGAATAAATTTGACCACGGAGCAGAAGGTATCGTTCCCGTCCTGTTCAACCTCGTCCCAAACTGCGCCAAAGTCATGGCCTCTTCCGGCGTGGCAGCTATCCGCATCATCATACGGGTAAGTCTTGCAACTGAGCTTCTTACAGTTTCGTTGAGGTTCTTCGTTGTTAGCTTTATAGACTGATTGTTGGATTATTATCCCTTTCATATCTTTGTCATGCTCTGCTTTCTCTCTGCAGCACACCCACGTCCCCAGACTCATCCCCCTGATAGCCAGTCACTGCGCATCCAAGTCTGTGTCGGTCAGAAGGTGAGATTACCATGGATGTTGACACCACAGTGATAAAAAGCCTAATTGTGCTATCAGCAGGTCTCAAACCATGAAACTATTAGATCCTAAAACGATGGTGCTGCTGATGATGATGTTGTAAAGATAATGTGTTTTGTGATAATGAGAATCCTAATCTGTGTCATCTCCAGGCGCTGTTATGACTTCCTGGACCTTCTGCTACAGGAATGGCAAACCCACTCTTTGGAGAGGTGAGGATTTATTCTGACATGGCTCAGAGCAAACCATGCAAAATTCTACTTTGCAAGATTCACATAAGTGTGATTGACAAGGAAAATAAACATGTTTTAATCCTGCAAGGTTGACATACATTTAACACCCTGCATCTTTTCCTTGCAGGCACACAGCAGTGCTGGTTGAGAGCATCAAGAAGGGGCTTCGAGATGCAGACTCAGAGGCCAGAGTGGAGGCTCGCAAGTAAGAAGCAAGCATTCAGGAAAATGAAATCATATGAAACACGAGTAGTGTGAAATATCTACTCGTGTCCGGCAGTGGCTCAGTCAGTTGGGGCTTGGTCTGGGAGCTGTAGGGTCGCCGGTTCAAGTCCCCGACCAGGCCTAAAATATAGAGTGTGGACTGCTACTTGGAGAGGTCCCAGTTCACCTCCTGCCCTGCCGTGGTGCCCTTGCGCAAGGCACCGGACCCCCCTTCTCCCATTGCTCCCTGGGTGCTGTACAATAGCTGCCCACTGCTCCTAGTACTAGACTCCTGGTACTAGGATGGGTTAAAAACAGAGAACAAATGTCACTGTGTGTTCTGCATGTGTGACCGTTAAAGAGGGTTTCATCCCCCCCAATTCTATTCTATTCTATCTATATCTCACTGTCCTCCTTTTTCTCTCTAAATCCCTTGATTCTTCCTCCTTTTCTGTGTCCCCCTCCATCTGTTACCATCTTCCCTGCTGCCTGTCTCAGGGCGTATTGGGGTCTGAGGAACCATTTCCCATCGGAGTGTGACGCTCTCTACAACTCCTTGGAGCCGTCTTACCAGAAGACTCTGCAGTCCTGCCTGAAGAGCTCCGGCAGCGTGGCCTCACTTCCCCAGAGCGACCGCTCCTCGTCCTCCTCTCAGGAGAGCCTCAAGTAATAAACACTCAGCCATTGTCTTCCACAGTTTAGACGCTTTAGTAAACATAGACCTCTTGATATACTTCTTTTGAGTCTTTTGAAGGTTTCAAAAAGACCCAATCTGTAGACCTGCACACTCCCACTGCACATGGATTAAATCTACTTTCTCGTCCCACCTCTCGTAATGTCAGCTTTTCTGCTGTATGCATCAGTAAAAGAAAAATAATTCTGATGAGTCAAAGTGGACTTCCTGCTGTTCTTTAGAAAGCCTCTAGAAACTTCTTCCACTTTTGTTAAAGCTTTGCAGAGGTGGAACAAAGACATTTTAAGAAGGTTATTCAGAGCATTACAGTCTAACCCGGCCTTCTGGATGAAACTTAATGCCAGAGTGAGCTGAAATGTAATCAAAGTAGAAAGACATGCCTTCCTGCTACAGTGCTTTATATTATGTACTTGTTGTCAGTGTGGAAGAATATAGTTTGAACTCTGCAGCTGAGCCTCAGAGAACAAGCAACCTTTCAGTGCTGCTTACACAATGTTATAATGACAAATGTATATAATGCTGTGAGCATATTTAAGGTGATATCTTCTACTCTCAATTTGTATTTTACTCCATTACTATAAGATGTCATGTTAGTGGGAACATTATTAAAAAAAGATAACTTGATTATTGATCAGAAGAATTAACTGTGTGTGGAACAAATGTAAACATTTTCCTCTGACTGTTTGGGTTTCCATAAATGATCAAAATATTGTTCAAACTACTGACTTAAAAAATATGTGTTTTATGTCAAAACAAAAATAGTGTTTTTTGGTTGAAATAGGGCACACTAATTGGATCACCCATTGCACTCTTTCTGCACTCTCTGATTGATTCTTTGAATCATTGATTTAAAGAATCCCAGGGCAGTGAGTGCTTACATAACAGGAAAAGTCAGGATAACATAATAAAGCCCTAAAGCTTATTTCCACTTGGGTCCCTCAGGAAAATTACACTTTACTGTAAATCTGTTCAGATTTGTGTTGAAGGGACTGAACCTCTTTTTGGGTCAAAGCTGTGAAATACCACTTCTTCATTGAAAGATATTGAAGCTTTTATTTAAAACAATGCCCACCACTAAAGAAGAATTGTGTTCGTTTGCTGTTGTGGACTGACCTACTTTTCTCTCTCCCTTGCAGTCGGCCTCTGACTTCTAAATGGTCAGCAGCTCCGGGGCGAGGTGAGTCAAACACAAACACACACACACACACACACACACACACACACACACACACACACACACACACACACACACACACACACACAC